ATTTTAGTTCACGTTTATAGATCGAGAGGAGAGTGTTTATTAAGCCGACGTTTCACTGCTAGCACTATGAATGATAAAGGTAAAAAACAACCTTGTATTTTTTTGTTAAACTTTTTTTCCTATGAGCGTAGTTAATGACATTACCCTCTTATCAGTAAAGTAATATATCTTGAAATTATTACAATTTAGCTGAGGTGGAGACTATTTTTCTAAAATGTTCCAATATCACGCATATATTTTCTGTGAGTTCTGATAGTACAGGACACTGGATTTCACCAGCCACAAAGCAAGGAAGCTGTGCAATGGGTAAATAGAACCCAACTAATGTAAAAAATGTAACACAAAGTTGCATGAAAACTGTTTTAAACTCCATCATAATTATTTAGCTTTTATTTTGATATAGACATTAACCCAAACGTAGTTTTTTACAAACATTGAAATAAAGAAAAAATATTATAGATGTGGCTGTACTTCTTCCTGGATCCATTCGTGCCTGTGTTCCAATATTGAAACAGTCCATATTTTGAAAATGATTACAGGACACACGAAAATTTCATTTAGAACAGAACTATACAACCTATGTCATAATTTTTTTGCTAAAAATATAAAAATGTAAAAATAAATAAATAAACAGGCAAAAACTAGTTAAGTACGGAGTAAGTGAATAGATGCGACAACTCTGAATCTAAAACAACTTTCTCGGGGCTAGTTGAGGTGTTCGCAGAGCTGCACGCGACATCTTTTTGGACAAGATGGCGGGCAATGTGAGCAGCTGATGTGTCATTTATAGTATTTCGTAGTAAGCATGGTGTAGATGTTAACTCTACCAGGTATTCGTGGGCTGTTATAATCGGAATGGCAACATAAATATAAAAGTACGGAAAAATGGGACAACAGGTCTTTTTCTTTTATATGTTAATATGTGATAAGTATTAGTGATTTGTGTACATCTTGTCAACTTAGAATTCTATTCCAAAGCGAGAAGATATTCAAAAGAAATAGGTAGACTAGAGACTTCAGCATTGAATAGAAAGTATTTAAATGTAACAATATTTCAAATATGAGTGTTGCGCCTCTTAGCACCTCCGGGTATCCATTAATTGTCCAACGTACCCTCTGCCTCTCGGAATGAAGAACGAATATTTGCAAAGCAGAAATAATCGCAACCAAGTGCTCAGTCATAGTTCACAGAGCCCATGCGGAAGTCGATCGAAACCTGAAACGTTTCTTATCGCGCTTCCAGCACCTCGTCAAGAAATGACACCTGTTACACAGACGCAAAATTCTGAACCAATTCTCAAAATCCCGACCGCTCGAGCTCGAGAGTCGTTTTCAATCAAGGAGAGGGCACAAGGGCGAGGAAGGAAAAATCGTGCACGATCCATGGCCTGTTTGTTAGGGTACTGCTTTGGCATTCGCTTGCATCAGCGAAAACTATGGAAAATTACCGTTGAGAGCAGCCGACCACTAGAATTCACATCCAGACACTGGCTGAAAGCGATCCAGCAATCTCTCAGCCAACGTCAAGTTCCGAACTCTAGGACCTCCCTGCCAACAATGCTGCAGAAACAACGTTAACAGTGATTTGAGGGCAGCTCAAACCCCCATATCACCTCCCTCTCGGTCCGACCGATCCGTCACTGGCTATGCTGCGATACTGTTCACGTGCCTTTCATAAACATTGCATATTTTATATTTCGGTTAAAACTTGTTTTAATTGGTGAACAGTTCTAATACTAGAGTTCTAATGCTAGTGCAGAGGTATGATGTTCGTTCAGCTGCTCCCAACTAGTGATGATACAAAAGGGCAGACGACTTCGTATTCTCTGTAACAGGTGTATAACACTATCATTCAAAAAAAATTTGTACAAATAATTCCGTATTTTCTCCCCAGTCATCCTACGAATACATAAATCGCATAAGGTAATAATCAAAATATCCATCCCAATTTGGAATTCATTTGAAAAAGAATGTGTTTGTGCCTGTTTGTACAAATATAACCAATATTTCATCTCGTTGCATTCCTTGTTCTAAAAAGTCCAGAAGCTCCAGTTACAAAAAAAATACTCCTGGGTCTCTGTAGTCTTTCATGGAGAATGACAAGATCCAGTTTCCGTGTCACAATCACCCAGCGCGGCGTCTACCAATGGGCTGGGCGTAACGTCGTGTTTTTGCGCTTTTAGTGCAAAGGTCGCCGCAAATATAGCATGCTGCACATTAGTCTACTTTAACAGTAGAAAGTGTTTTAATCTAATAAATCAACTTTACAACTCCTCAGAGACGTATCTACGGTATGGCAGACATTGCATGTGTCATGGGCGCTACACACAGGGGAGCAATTTAAAGTACGCATGCTAAAACAAATAACCATATCCGGATGTGGGCCCAAATCGTAAGTTTGGCATGGGCGCCAGAAAACCTTGATGCACCTCTGCAACCCGGTTCTCTTCTTTGGAAATCTTGAGCACACTCAGAGCACGCCGCCCGTGCGAGAATCCCATCTCCAAGGCAATTGACTAATTTCGTCATGAAGCCCTGCTGTCAAGTTTCTATGGACGGAAGTGATTTTTCTCGACAAAGAGAAAGTGACGAGTCAGGGGTGTGTTTTGTTATTAGCTGAAAGGCAAATACTCCCATATAACTAGTTTGAATTGTATTGTCATATATAGTAATACAATATTTTTGAACATACTTTTTACAGCAATTAGCACAACTAAATTTGATTTCAGGTAACCACATGCCAGCTGAGCTAATGTCAATGCGCCCTCTTTTAATCTGAGAATAGCGACTGCTTCAGAGAAGTCACTGTATGCATGTATTTGATGTGTTCTTATTCATCCATCTTTTAGACAAATTTGTGTAAATGGGACGATTTATTTAGTCGTGCGTCTGGCAGGGTTCATCCAATTGGGAGCTTACATGTCTTTAAAGTGATGTCATTATGGTAACGTTCAAGCTCCCGATTGAAGTAAATCAGCTGTTGACGGTTTCATCCAAATGCATGGTTAAATAAATCCAAGTATACAGTAGCGGCAGTGAATAAAAGCAACTCGGGAAATTTTTTTGTCACATGCTTGAGTACGTCATGCGACCTATTCTAAAGCTATCAGCTTGCAAGGATTTGTTTACTTTCTCACAGCCAGGGTTCTGGGTTCCCGCACCGAATCGCAGAGGTGATAAGGTTGAGCCGTGACAAATGTTATGAAAATGATATCGAGACATGTCATTGCCTGTTAGTAAGTGCTCTATGTTTTGAGATTTTGTTTATCTGCCACACAGGCGGTGCTATGTGCATAGTAATGCGCGACCACAGTGCATTAAACTGTCAATCGCTTATACGCTGCCGGTACTGTAAGAATTCCAAACTCCACAAGAAGCCACTTGCACTGCCAGGAACTCTTAAAACATTTAAACTCCATTTAGCATTCTAAGTACTTTATACCTTCCTCATGACAGTACTTCGATGCTGTAACATAAGCTGCCAAAAGCAAAAGTATTATGTGGGTGGAGAGGACAGACTTTCAAGTTTTGAAAGAAAAAGAAGAGGGAAAAGACATCCTTAAGAAAAATTAAGAGTGGGGATTAAAATAGGAAAGCAAAAGTAATATAAGGACAGCATGACCAAACGGCTAACACAACAGGCCTAGTGACAGGTAAAGAGGGTATGAAACGTAGGGGATGAGTATGTAACAGAAAAAAGATTTTGTTACAAAATTTCAAGGAGCATTGACAAAGCAATAATTTAAAATAATGCTTGTTGATGAATGCACAAAATGATTTGTTGTGAAAATTTGAAAGCAGCATACAACTGAACTAAATTAAATACCTGTATTAATTCAGGCATTCTCAATATTTTCTTGAGTAACGCTAAAAAATGTTGATTTCAAAGCAATGAATTATCACTGTACCTAATGTTTTTAAAATTTGTCGTAGGTAATACGAGTGCTTTGGAAATTGTCGATAAATTCCCAACTTCCGAAGTAAGAAGGGGATTTATTTGAGAATTTTCAAAGCACAAGTGGTATTTAATTGGACCATTCCACGAGTGAAATTATGTCCAACAGAGTTCCAAAATGCGTTGAATATTGAAAATAACTGAAAGCTATGTTAAAATCAAATAGGTTATGTTATTGTACATACAGGGTTTATTGGACATCAACATAGCGATCAATACACAATACCACCTCCTAAGACAGATGAATCACAGTTTATGATTGGCCAGTAGGTAGAAGCAGTAAGAAAAATCTGATAGAAAAAGCGATAAGCTTTTTGAGATACACTGCCCTGATTAGGGCATTTTGTATGTATAGGTAAACACTATTGGTTTTAATTTCATGAGTGGAATAGTCCTCATAATTATGTGAACCATTTGGCAATGTTATTCACATAGTACAATTAAATTTTCTACTTGTCTAATGCAGGTTCTGCCCTCTTGTATATAAATATATTGTAAGATTATCAGCATCATTTCTCCACATTTAATTTTTGCAAACAAATTTTATCACATTACAAAGAATAAAAAGTGCATCATCACTACTGCGAAGATAAAAGTTTTTTCTGTAATTGTGTGTGTGTGTGTTTTAAGAAGCTTTCTTTCATTCCAATGAAAAATGAGTAATGCAAAATCTGTATTACCGATTTAAGATACTTTTGCCAATATTCCTAGAGAAAAAGATTTGTTCCTCTTAAAACAAAAGTTGCCTGAGGTGAACCACGTTTCATACAAGTAATATATTTTGAAATTTCTCAATGTTTACTTTCAAGAATGATGGAATCTAAAACTTTGTTCACAGAACTACTGTTGTATAGCAAAGTTCTTCTTTGCCATGCAGAGTGGAATTATTTCAAAGTAATATTTTTTCTGTTTACATAGCCATTCAGTATACTGCAGATGAAAGGGTAATGAGAAAAAGAAAAAAGAGCATGCAGAATCCCTCTGAAGAGCAATGTGTTCTTCCCTTTGGGTTGAAATTGTAATAAATTTGAAATGAAAAACTCACCTCATCTGGATCACTCAGGTCCCCTCTGTCCTCTTCAGAACGAGCGTGTGTATCTCCAGTGGAAGTGACACCTTGGGTGGTTCCAGTAGTGCTGCCCACTCCATTGTTGGCATAATGCTCCACATATGTAGACCACTTGTCCACATCCACTGGAGGATCAGCCTCCTCTCCTTCAGTGTCAAGGAGCTCGATGGCAACTTTACAGTCTTTCTTATACTATGGACAAAGAACAGGATCAGTAGAAGAGGGCAAGGATTAAATGAAGGGCAGCAAACACAAATTCATATCACAATAATGAAGGCCTTTAATGATGCTTACCACATGGATTTTAAAACAATTTTCATCAGAAAGGGCACTTTCTGCTTTCTTTTGATACAGCAATTCAGAGCCTTGACGCTGATGTGCTGTGACACAAAGCCCACCAGTAGCACCCCTCCGAGATTCTTGATGGAACAGCTCCACACATTCTTGACAAGTTTCATCGGACACCAAGTTCTGAAGCTGTAATAGAAGGTAAAAAGATTAAATATCATCACACATGATCATTTTCAGTGCAACAACATGAACAACCAGAAGTGACACTAGCAGTATCACTATCTTCGAATTACAGGGTATCAATTAATCAATATAATTATTACATTCACCAATTGTGTATTTAATAAAATTTTATCAAATACTCTTATTATCTACAAAGTATGTCCTGTAACCAGGCAAGTTCCTCATTTGAAAAACCATTCTAAAAATGTATCTCTTAGAAACAAAGAAATAGAAAAATTGGATTTTTCATTGCACCTTACAACATTATTTTGGACAGTGTTTTATATTGAAGTAATATTTCTGCAAATGCGATAATCCAGCACAGAGGCAAATTCAGGTTCATAAATGCAACTTGTTATGCACTTTATCTTTCTGCAGTCGCTGTACTCATTTTAACTGACCCTTTAGCGCGCGCGCACACGCACGCGCACACACGTCTTTTGTGAAATGTAATATACAAGAGATGTTTATCTTTATGAAACATAAAATATAAGATCTTTAAAGATCTAATACTTTATTTCATAAAAGACAAAAATCACTCTTCAATTTTCTATTTCTGCAATGTTAATGGACAAACCTGCTTGTCCTATTTCCAATAGGTCAAGCAGGTCCCCCACCCCAAGCCCTTTCGCTCACTGATGCACTGAAGCAATTGATGAAGTTTTTACTGCTGGCGAGAATGTTGCGTGGTGCAAAGTCTGCATCAAATTATGCTCTCCAAATGATTTTATCATTTCTAAAATTTATTTAGGTATTTTGTTATAAATGAAATTTTGTATTATGTAAATGTGTTTTATAATTAGTGTATTTTAAATTTAAACATTCTATCTGATTTTACATTTTTATTACATATTCTTAGTTTTCATTACATACAGGGTGCGGCAGAACCGACTAAGCAGTTTTAAGGAGCAATAAAAAGTAAATCTGAACATATT